AGCGAAGCGGTTTAGGGTTTAGGGTTTAGGGTTTAGGGTTTAGGGTTTAGGGTTTAGGGTTTAGGGTTTAGGGTTTAGGGTTTAGGGTTTAGGGAGGAGATGCAAAGAGTGCCCCTAGACGAAGCGGTGTTGGCCCTTTGCGAGCTACGCTTGGCCCCTCGCCAGAAGAGTTACTTTCCAGGGTCCTGTAGGCGCTCGCTTCACGGATTGCTGCATTTGTTGTTTTTCTGTAAGGGGTTGCTGTAATGGTGTCTGCAATATTTCTCTGAAGGCTTCGTTGACTTTTGCCCCTAAACCATAAACCCTGAACCCTAAACCCTATAAACCCTAAACAGGGTTTAGGGTTTAGGCTTTGTTTTTGAGTATATGTTTTCTTTGGCGAGTGCGGGGGCAGCGGTTCAGGGTTTCGGGTTTAGGGCTCGGTTTTCTTGGAGTACTGGTTCCTAGACCCTTAACCCTAAACCCTTAGCCCTAAACCCTTAACCTTTAAGCCTTAACCCTAAACCCCAAAACCCAAAACCCTAAACCGAAGAGCTCTTGGGTCTCTTTGGTTGTAGTACTGGTTCCCTAAACCCCCAAACCCTAGACTGGTTGCTTCAGGTGTCGGTTGGTGGAGATTAGGCAAGGGGTTCTCAGGAGTTCATGAGTTGCTTCTGTCAGGCAAGTGTTGTGTTTAGGGTTTAGGGTTTAGGGGTTTAGGGTTTAGGGTGATTGATTCCGTGTTTTGTTTCCGACTTTCGTGAGAAGTGGGGTTTGGGAGTGTAGCTGTCAATTTTGGGCGTAGGGCTCAGGATTCATAGCACAGGTTTAGTTTAGCCTTTACTGTCCCCAGACCCCGAAATCGGCTGACTGCTGCTGCAGCGGGCTTGGGGTTTAGGGTTTAGGGTTTTCGGGTTTAGGGTTTAGGGTTTAGAGTTTAGGGTTTAGGGTTTAGGGAGACTGCTGCTGCAGCGGGCTTGGGGTTTAGGGTTTAGGGTTTTCGGGTTTAGGGTTTAGGGTTTAGAGTTTAGGGTTTAGGGTTTAGGGTATAGGGTTTAGGGTATAGGGTTTAGGGTTTAGGGTTAAACAAGTTATGACGCTTACCTTGAGGGTCCATGTACCCATATACCAGTGCAGACTCGGGCCCTAGATATTTAAACTGGGACAACATTGAGGCCATACCATACTACAACATAAGGACATGGACCTCTAGGGTTTAGGGTTGAGAAAGTATAAGGGTTATGTTTACTCCAAAATCCGACACCTGAGAAAGCCCGGTGAGACTAATATAGGGGCCTTGATAATTACCCATGTATACTATTTTTTTTTTGGGGGGGGGTTCCTTATCATAATTATAGTATAATGTACCCCAAAATCTATTCTAATCATTCAGGTCCCTAAACCCTGAACCCTTGTAGTAGCGCTCATAGAACTCTTTAAGGGACCCTTTAAAGGAACCCCAAAACCCTATTCTATTTATTCAGGCCCCTACATTAATCCATGGCTTGAGACCTAAACCCTAAACCGTAAACCCTGAACCAAAGCCCTAAACCCTAAACCCCCAAACCCTAAACCCTAAACCCTGAACCAAAACCCTAAACCCTAAACCCTAAAACCTAAACCCCACACCCTAATCCCTGAACCCTAAACCCTAAACCCTGAACCAAAACCCTAAAGCCTAAACCTCGAGGATTGGTGCAAAGTCGATCCTGCTGATCTTCAGGCCGTCCAGTCCCTTTCTTGTGCTAAGAGGATGGGGTTTAGGGGTTTAGGGGTTAAGGGTTTAGGGTTTAGGGGTTTAGCGGTTTAGGGGTTTAGGAATTAGGGTTTAGGGGTTTGGGGGTTTAGGGTTTAGGGGTTTAGGGTTTAGGAATTAGGGTTTAGGAATTAGGGTTTAGGGTTTAGGGGTTTGGGGGTTTAGGGTTTAGGGGCCCTAAACCCCCGTGCTCCCGTAAACCCGGAAGCCTCAACCCGAACTTATACCCTAAAGGTCCACGTACTCTCTGTTATAGGACCATGGGTCTTTTATGGGTGTAGGCTTTAGGGTTTAGGGTTTCCAAAACCATAAAGAAGGACTACTGGGACCCGTAAGGATATACAGCTGGATTCTGCATAGTCAGAGCAGTGTGTTTCCTCTGTGCAGCGGAGCCTTCTGCTTGTCTTGACAGCCAGTGTGGACTCTAAACGCAATTTAAGCAACAAAGTAAGCTGAGAAACCGTAGGAATCAAGTCTAGGACATTTTCAGGTGGGTAGTTACCGTTATTAACCGAAACTCCCCATCTCGAAAACACCCTCACCCTAAACGTCCGATTCTGGCTCTGTCCGGGGTCCCATAAACACGGGCTACTTATCTAGAAGCTCTGAAGACATATGGGTAGTTCTCTAAATTAGGGTCCCTTTTAGGGTCCTTTTTATAAAGGTGCCGTACTATATTGGGGATCCAAAAAAGGACCCTAATTTAGAAAACTACCCATATTCAAACCCGAAGAACCCAACCCTAAACACTGAACCCTGTAAACCCCCTAACTTCAACCCCCCAAACTCCAAACCTTCAAACCCTGAAGCCCTAAACAACCGAAGTCGCATCTTTCAGCTGTTAGAGGCCTGGGGCTCGAGCGCCTACGTGATGACCTTCCTGAAGAAGGCTCTGCTGGTTGGCCTGCGGGTTTTGGGTTTAGGGCTTTAGGGTTTAGGGTTTTGGGTTTTAGCGTTTAGGGTTTAGGGTTCGGGGTTCGGATGTAGGGTTTCGAAGCTTACGTTCGTAGCTACGGATGAAGGCCATGGATTACAAAAAAGGTTCTCTTAAGGTATTTATATAAAAAGAATATGACTGCAGAGAGGCTTCTAAACCGCTTTTTGGCTTGGGGTTGTGTGCCGGACGTTGGGTTTCAGATTTGGGTTAGGAGTCTTGGATTCAAGGTTCAAGGGCGTGATTTATGATCGAACAAATGGGCTTGACACCCTACTCCCCGAAACCCTAACCCTAAACCCGAAACTCTAAGCCCTAAACCCTAACGCCACACTAAACCCGAAGAGGCCCAAATCCTAGCCCCCGAGCCTGGATACATGTTCGGTCCGAAGTGGTTGGTTCTTACTAAAGGATTGTTGAAAGGGCTTGAGTATGGGGCGGCTTTGATACCCGACCTGTTGTAACATCAAAGGTTTCTTTTGGTTGAGCAGGCCCTAAACCCTAAGCCCTAAACCCCTAAACCCTAAACCCTAAACCCTGGGTGGTCTTCGCAGGGTTCCCGCGTATGTCGATAGCTAGATTGCTCGAGCTCGACTGGTGATGGTCTGCACTCCCTAAGGGTCCATGTACTCAAATAGGATTTACTTTGGCCTTACAGTAATGTAGTTCCTATATAGGTACTTTGGGGCCAATGTATATACTATTTGGGCACATGGACCCTTAGGGACTCTTTCTGCACGAGTCGTTCATGCCATGATTAGTTGTACGGCGCTTTACGTTCCTCTTGCCCGTCCTCATCCTGATCCTCCTCCTCATCCCAGCTCCTCCTCATCATTTCGAGCCCTAAAAATACCCCTAAACCCTAAACCCTTTCCCCAAACCCTAAGCCCTGAGCCCGAAAACTTGGCATGAGCTTCAGGAGGTCGGCTGGTAGGGCGTCGAGTTTATTGTTTCCTTTTCTGCCGGTGCCGGTTCCGAAACCCTCCCAAAACTTTAAACGGTTTAGGGTTTAGGGGTCCTAACCCCTGAACCCCAAACCCTCAAGCCCTAAACCCTAACACCTAAACTCCTCAACCCTAAGACCTGAACTCCGAAACCCTAAAACCTGAACCCCTGAACCCGAAAACCTAAGCCCCTCAACTCGAAAACCTCAACCCCTAAACCCTTAAACCCTAAAACCTAAACCCTGAAAACCTAAACCCTAAACCCTAAACCCTAAACCCTGAACCCTAAAACCAAAACCCAAACCCAAGCCCCAAGCCTCACCCCTCTACCTCCTTTTAACGGTTTAGGGTTAAGGGTTTAGGGTTTAGGGTTTAGGGTTTAGCTTCCATCCTACACGTAGCATCGAAGGTGAGGGTTGTTTGGGCTTAGACAGAGACCCTGCAATAGCAGGTTAGCTTTCAAGACCGAGTTTGGGGTTATCTTGTAACCCGACACCGCAACTAAACCCTAAACCCCTAGAGCCGTAAACCCTAAACCCATAAAGCTATAAACCCTAAACCCCAAACCCCTGAGCCCAACAAATCCCTAAAACCTTCAGCTGTAGCTTCGATAGCTGTAGGGGAAGGGGAACCGGTTTCGCCAAGCGCGTACCGTTTTTGGGGGAGTTGTTTTGCAGCTTTGCAAGGACCTTGGGGCCCTGACGTTTTTGGGTTTCCTCATGGTTGTTTTTTTCTGGGGTTTAGGGTTTAGGGTTTTAGGGTTTTGGGCTTCGGGCATGCAGTGGGTGCAGGGTTTAGTAAGGTTTGGGGGGCTGATTAGGGTTTAGGGTTTAGGGCTTACCGGGTCTGGCTTGTCACTGCAAGCCACAGGCCCCGGATCCACCTCCGCAAAAAGAGGCCTCGGTGTCGCCGAGTCTTCTCGAGCTCTTGGGTAATACCGTAATACCCTATATAACCTTAAACCCTGTTTTTTAAACTTTAAGGCCTAGGGCTTTGAGCGCCGAAAGGTCTGGATAATGGTACGGTTGATGATATACAATCCTGCGATACCCATCATATCGAATATACCCATAGTTCCCATAGTTTAGGGTCCTTGTAAGGTAATGCAGGACATATCATCAACAGTTGTGAAATCTTTGAACCATGCTTCCCGCAAACCCGAAAAGAATGGAAAGCGGATTAAGGACAAACAGTGCTGGGAGTCCTCATCCGGGAGCTTCCGAAACTAAGGGGTATCCTGTTTTGGGGTCCTTACAATAGGGATCCTACTACTTAGGGTACTATAGTAGGGTACCCCCATTTTCGGAACCTACCATACATGGCTCTTAAGGATTGAGGCTATTGGGTTTCCAACTTTTGGGCTTCTACTGACTACTGCACATAGTATCTCCCGAGAACCTATGGCAAGTCAGCGGGACCCGGAAGGAGGCTCTGAGGATCACTGAGGGTTTATAGGGTTGACTTTAAGAACCCCAAACCCACTTTTTTGTAGGTCCTTATTATAGACCCTAATGTGGGATTTATAGGGACCCTACAAAAAAGTAGGTTTGGGGTTCTTAAGGTAGGGTTTAGGGTTTGGCTGGTAAGACAGCCTGAAATACTGAGGCTCTTCAACTCTCAGAACCAAAATCCTTGAGCCCCACACGCACATTAGAGTTCAGAGTTTAGAGTGTAGGGCTTAGGGCGCACACATACCCGCACACATATCCGCACACTACAACCCTTGACCCGGATTTCCCCAGGCATTAAGACGCAAGCTCCTGTTCTTTTGTTGCAAGTAGGGGCTGCAAGGCTAGAAGGCTTCGTCTCTGCGGTGTACGGTTACGTTGCCATCACCGGATTCGATGACTAAGAAAGGCCTTACTTCCCAGCTGAGTCCGCATTCTTGTAGCAAACCTGTTTTTAGGGTTTAGGGTTTAGGGTTTAGGGTTTAGGGTCTGCATTAACGATGCGCGTCAGTCCTGGAATTCACGTTCTCGGTTGCCGCCAACCAAACCCCCGCAGAGAGTGTACAGTTCTTGGGCGTAGGATTTAGGAGTTTAGGGTTTAGGGTTTAGAAGCCCAGAGGGTCCATATACACGACCATTATGGAATTAGGCCCCAAAATACCATCCCTATTATGGTTTTGGGGACCTAATTCCATAATAGTAGTATATATGGACCCTCTGGGAAGGTTGAGGGTTCTAAGAAGGGAGCTGGAGTTGCAAGAAGAGTACCTCGAATGCTCCAGATCCGTGTTTACCATGGAGAAGATGCGACGGAAGCACCATTTTGGGCAAGCCATCTCAACAGCAGCAAGCAGATGTTCGGAGCTCGCAGGGAATGCCTAAGGGTTATGTACTCAGTGGAAGGTGCCATGGGATACCTGGCGCGCTCTGTGTCGAGCCTGGTGTCAAGGCCACTTCAGGCACAGGAACGCGCTGACCCGTGCGTGCGGCTGGCCGAGTTGAATGCACATCTCAACAGCTCTATGCCGCGTTTTAGCCTGCCTTCTCGACGGAGCGAAAGTCAAGCGTGAGGTTCGAGAAATCTTCCTCCTTCGGATGAACTCTAGTGCTACGAGACGAAGGCCGAGAAGGCTGGAACTGTTCCCCCGAAACCCTGAACCATAAAACCTTGTTTTCTGAGCGAGAGACAGAGAACCCTAAACCCTAAACCCTAAACCCCAGAGAGAGAGCCTACAGCCTTGAGGCTCATCCTTGTGGAGCCGGTGAACGAGGGTTTAGGGCTTACTGTAGGGTTTAGGGCTTAGGGCTTGGGGTTTAGGGTTTAGGGTTTAGGGCTTAGGGTTTAGGGAGCAATGCAACCATTCGGACAACAAGACGACGTGGACAGTTTACGCCCAGCCTGTTTGCGCACAGTGCAGGACGTGTTCTGAGTTTGCATAGCCCTGTAGAACAGCCATACTTGGATGATCATGGGACTTAGTAATTAGGGTGGTAAACAATGTAGCTATGATTAGACACCATTTAAACTTACAGCTGCGTAGTTATAACTCCAACTAAGGTGCTTAAAACCTGACTTACTATGTCCCATAACCCTCCAAGTAGTCCTGAACCCCACGCACTAAATTGTCGACGACCCTGAGGCCGAAAGTCCTAAGCCCTGTGACCTAGACCCCAAACCCCAGAACCAACTCACAAACCCAATCCCTTAAAACCAAATCCTAATCCCCACACCTCGCAACCCTAAGTCCTGCAACTTTACGTCCCAAACCTGTTTACTGTACACTGAAAGCTACACCTAAACCCTTATTATTACCTTATATACAACCCGAAACCCCATCCCTCCTGAAGGTCTTATTGGCCCCTATAAGGGCCTGGGTGTCTCAACGGTAAAAAGGAAGCCTAAAGAAGTACCTATACTATTTTGGGGGGATTCCTCATTATCATTATACTATCACATACCCCCAAAACCCTATTCTAATGATTATGAACCTTTATAGTAGCCCTTATAGAACCCCTGTAAGGGACCCTTTAAAGGAGCCCCAAAACTTCTAATTATTAAGGCCCCTCAGCATTAATCCTTATAGTAGCCCTCATAGAACCCCCCTTAAGGAACCCTTAAAGGAACCCCAAAACCCTATTCTATTTATCAAGGCCCCTAAACCCTAAACCACTATAGTAGCCCTTACAGAACTCTTTAGTATAGTTATACTATGAAGGCCCTAGGACCCTATTCTAACTATTAAGGCCCCAACATTAGATCTGATAGTAGCCGTTGAAGTACGTAGCCCTTGTAGACCCCCTTTAAAAGCAACCCTTTAAAGAATATAAACCCTAAAACCACCGTTGATTTTTTTGTTAGAGGGGGCTCCCCGAAAGTGTTTAGGGTCTGGGGTTTAGGGTTTAGTGCTACTTTAGGGTTTTAGGGAGGGAGGCTCCAGAGATAGACCCAAAACCCTCTTCTGATTGTTAAGGCCCCTGCATTATGCAGGTTCGAAATGCTTTCCGTGAGCTCCAACATGTGGGCGCTTTGGATTGGGAAGGCTGCTGGCGCTGAACTTTTTAGGGTTTAGGGTTTAGGGTACATGTTTCCATGGGGGGAGGGATAGTAAAGAGGTCTGGGTCAAAAAGACTTGCTAAGCCTTGTTGTCAGTTATATTACACTACACCCCAGAACCTTAGGACCTTACTCGAATCATGAAGGCTCCACATTTTCGGGCTTGTAGAATCCTCGGATTTAGAGTTTAAGGCTTCTCAGGTTTGAGGTACAGGTTTACGGTTTCGGCATCAGGGACGTGAGTCTTGGGGTTCTAGTATCAGGATCAAGTGCTCCAGTATTTCCATGTTTTTTGGTTTTCGGTTTCCCACTAAGAAACAGAGTGACATGTCTCCAGGCTGCAGGGCTTCGTTAAGCCCGGTTCCGCCCTAAGAATCTTGGATTCCCGGCAGTCAGAAGGCCCTGGGTGCCTTTGTATGATCTTTATATACTACACGCTATGGCTTTTGACATGTGCACTCACACATGGGAGTGGGAGTTTCCGAAAACCAGGGCTTATTTTGGGCTCTTTATAATAAGGACCCTACTATTAAGGCTCAGTACTGGATTGGGTCCCCTAAACCCTCAACCCTAAACCCTAAACCCTAACCCTAAGCCCCTGATTTAGGAAGCCCCCACATCCGTCTCTGTTTACGCCGACCCGGCCTCAAAAGGCCCTCCGTCGCTTTGAACTCGTCGTCTCCCGGACTTTCCGTAAGTGGCCGAAGGGTTTTGGGGGGTTTGCGATATCGGGTATTGCTTGTACATATATACTTGTAAGTACATATACAGATGTATATTATAATATATATATATATATACATATATATATATATATGTATGTTGTATGTATATACATATACTATATATATATATATATACACACATGCAAACATACCGACATATACATGCATATACTTGTTTTACAGGACCTTATGCACAGAAAAGGGCTCCGCATGTTGCGGCGCACCTTACCATTCTCAACTCCGAAACTTGACGTCCTTCCCTTGCATGAAGGCCCTGGAAACTTGGATTCCCTGAATTCCTGCATGAAAGGCACCCTAAACCCGAATCCTGAAACCTTAAACCCTCAACCCTGAACCCTAAACCTTCAACCC